ATGTGTCCACGGTAAGACAGACTGTCTACAAATGGAGAAAGTTTAGCACTGTTGCTACTCTCCCTAGGCGAGGTCGTCCTGTAAAAATGACTGCAAGAGCACAGCGCAGAATGCTGCATGAGGTAAAGAAGAATCCCAGAGTGTCAGCTAAAGACCTACAGAAATCTCTGGCACATGCTAACATTTTTGTTGACACATCTACAATAAGGAAAACATTAAACAAGAATGGAGTACATGGGAGGACACCACGGAGGAAGCCATTGCTGTCCAAAAAGAAGATTGCAGCACGTTTGAAGTTTGCAAAAGAGCACCTGGATGTTCCACAGCACTACTGGCAAAATGTACTGTGGACAGATGAAACCAAGATTGAGTTGTTTGGAAAGAACACACAACACTATGTGTGGAGAAAAAAAGGCACAGCACACCCACATCAAAACCTCATCCCCACTGTGAAAGATGGCGGAGGGAGCAGCATGGTTTGGGGCTGCTTTGCTGCCTCAGGGCCTGGACGGATTGTTGTCATTGATGGGAAAATGAATTCCAGAGTTTATCAAGACATTTTGCAGGAAACCGTACGACCATCTGTCCGCCAACTGAAGCTCCGCAGAGGATGGGTGATGCAACAGGACAATGACCCAAAGCATACAAGTAATTCAACAAAACAATGGCTGCAACAGCACAGAATACGCCTTCTGGAGTGGCCCAGTCAGAGTCCTGACCTCAACCCGATTGAAATGCTGTGGCATGACCTTAAGAGAGCGATTCACACCAGACATCCCAAGAATATTACTACACTGAAACAGTTTTGTGAAGAGGAGTGGTCCAAAATTACTCCAGATCGTTGTGCAGGTCTGATCTGCAACTACAGGAAACGTTTGGTTGAGGTTATTGCTGCCAAAGGAGGGTCAACCGGTTATTAAGTCCAAAGGTTCACATACTTTTTCCTCCCTGCACTGTGAATGTTTACATGTTATGTGCAATTAAACCATGGCAACATCTAATGTTTGTGTAGTATTATGTTCAGCAGACTGTGTTCTTCGATTGTTGTGACTTAGATGACGTTCAGAGCACATTTTATGCCCAATTCATGCAAAACTCCACGTAATCCCAAGGGGTTCACATACTTTTTCTTGCAACTGTATATCATTCATACATTGCCAAATTAGAAAATACATCTCATTCGGGAAATCTAAGATCTCACTTTTTGCAGGTGATGTGCTTCTTTCTTTGACCCAAACACATATCACTCTCCACAATCTTCACAAGACCCTGGACCTATATATCTTGATATCAAGGCTATGAAATTACTCACTGTATAACTGATGGGCTTCCACTTAACAAGTCTCCTTGTGGTGCCAATCTTTGACCAAGTACTTCCCATATATCAAGAAAGCTACTGCACTTAAGTACTTAAGAAAAGATTGCCCCTTTACTTATCACAAAGGTAGAGCATCCCCACTCCAGTAGAGAAGTCACTGCATTTCCAACTTTGATTGTTAATTTTTTTTTTTTTTTTAGATCCCGCTGAACCCCTTTCCTGCTCTCCATATCATAAAGTTACAAACAGATCTGCTGAATTTTACTTGGGCTTACAAACAACATAGGGTCTCTACCAAGATCCTATATGCTTCCTGTAATCAAGGTGGCCTTTCTTTTCCAAACCTAGTTATACTATCAAGCTAACCTGTAAGAGATGTTCAATATGTATTGGAACCAGAAAGATATTACATATTCATGCTCATAACCATAATTCAGAGCAAAATCTCCCTGCCAAACGGGCATTAGCGTGCATGCCCAGTGCTTGCTCTGGCAAGAAATGGCCTATTTAAGCTGGGCTATGATATGAACAAATGTATGAGTTGTCTTCAGCTAGTTCCTGCTCAACCTGTGCCTTGACTTCCTATAAATACCTACCCATGCATGTCTCAGCTTGCCCCTGACCTGCCTCTGATTCCCAACTGCCTGCTTTGACCTCAGCTTGTACTCTGACTCCGCTCCTGTCTTGTCCTGTCTCCCTCTGCCTCTGCTTGAAGTTCCTGTACCTCACTGCATGGCTGATTAGGACCTTTCAGCATGCTCCTGTCTGCCTATCAAATGTCACTGTGTTCCAGGTCCTGGTTACTGCCTGGTGATCTACAGTCAAATGCTTCCTGCAGACATCAGCTGACACTGACTGTTAAACCTGCCCTCATACCACTCTGTGTCCTGACACGTTTTGTCATCACTACCAATAGAAGCTCCCTCTCCAGCTCAATCTCCACTAGATATGTGACAAACCCACTTTTGACAGCTTTTGACCACTGTACATGCTTATAATCGCTGGTCCAAGGGAAGGACTCCATTAATTCCATGCTATGGGCTAGCAATATTGATATACAATCATCCAACCTGATTATTACTGTGTATTTTCTTACCACAAAATGTTAATACCATCTAATGGCAAATGTATTCTTACTGACATCTTTCCTATTCAACCCATAGATTCCAGGCAGCCTGACCTTGCAGATATCCTCTCCTTGGAGTGCAATGATCTTACTAGATTCATATCAACTTCTACTTGTTACTTTCCATTCCATTTTTTATTTACCCAGTGGTACGCTCACAGCAGGTACTGTATATGTTAAGACCTCTGACTAATGTACCTGATCCGAAGACCATGATTCCAAGGTTACCATTGTTCTAGATAGTCCAGAACATAGTCGTGTAGAAACATACTTGGTATTCCAGGTTTAGGGCTTTAGATCATTATCCTAGCAGTAACTACAGTATATCCTTATACAAAAACTTTTGCTCTCAGAAAGGTGTTTTCCATGATTGGATTATAATTTGCCAACAAGACATTCTTTTTTGCCTTATCTTGTCTCTAAGCAGATTATTTTATCCTTCTTGAAAATCTTGCTCTGAATAACAATGTACGTTGACATATTAAATGCATGTTGTGAAAGACTGCTTACTTTCTTGTTTTCCTTTCCATTACTGTGCTTTGTTAAAATCTAATATAAAGTTAATTATAAAAACCACAAAAAAATTGTGGTTATTACATACCACCAAAAGAGAACTCAAATTTGAAAATATAATATAAAATTAATTTGGTTACAATGCGTGACCGATTCATTGTCAGTAAAACTAAAAAAAAACACTAAAAACTGAAAAATGGCCTTGTAATAAAAGCCTATTTACTAGATTGTACTCAAGTGGTTAAATATTTTTCCAAGATCTTCACATAATAGAAAAAGCCGATTTAGGAAAGTGTGAAAATTGTCCATATCTTGGTTGCCCTTGTCATAAACTTATAAGGAATTGCTTACTGTGAATATCCTTAGATAAACCATAAACAATAGCATTTAGTCCAATGGATAACTCTTAAAGAGAGATGCCCGGAAATTGCTTGCATTAAAAAACAATAAACATTTTATGACTTGAAACTGCCTCATGCTGTAATAGATATACATAAATTGTATTGATTTGGCATATCTACTGTGTATTTCCTCATTGAAATTGATATTTGTGGTTTATTAACATAATGCTCTAGATTGCTTTATACACAGAGATGTTGATTTATGAAAGGTTCATTGTAAAGATATTAATATATTATTAAGGTTTCCTGATTATGAAAGATCACTGAAAAACATTATATTAACATTAAAACATAACATAAAGGTCACATGGTTGCTTGCTGAAAACCAAGATGACCTATTCTATCACCATTGATTTCGTAATTTTATTTTTAACCCTTAAAGTTCATTATACATTTTAACCAAACAACACTACGGATGCATTTAGATACATATTGCTAAGCTTTTATATTAATATCTATTTGGGTGGTCATGTGCACTTGAATGGATATTCCCATGTACAGTACCTGCAATATTGTGCTGTAGAACTTGCACATCAAATTACCTGTTTAATATTTTATAATGTTTTTTCTGTTAGTCTTTCCACAAGCAACTCTTTTTGAGGATATTCATCACATTATAGCACCTTAAGCAGATGTTACATAAACTCTGGTCTGATTACTTGTGCACATTAAGCAAGTCTCATTTAGCCCAGGAATGTATTTTTTTAAAACAGAAATTTAAGCAACTACTTTACTAGGAGAAAAGGAACAGTAAAAGCCTATTGGGGAGCAGGGGAGGGAAAAAGGAGTGTATGAGATATGGGAAAATAAAAAAAAAGGGGGGAAGAGATGGGGGGACTGGGGAATTAAAGGTAGGTACTGTCTTCCCACCACTCTAGTATCCAGTAGGGTGTACACTTTTTTTATTTATTTAAATATTTATTCATTTTCCATATAAAATACATGTTCCATCATTACTCTCATATAACATACAAAACCATCAATTGTTTCCCTTTCTATCTTTATTCCCATTACCCCCCCCCCCCCACACCTATCTAATACCCCCACTCATCCCAAAAAAAACAACCCCCACCAATAAAAAAATAAAGCAGGGTGTACACTTGAAATAGTGTTAATTAAAAATGTGAACTGTGCTTATGTGTGCAAAATTATTAATGAAAAAAGCTGCAGACATGTATATGCATGCAATTGCGATCTTTTTTACCATTTTAACCGCTTCCATACATGGCACTTTTACCCTTTTTTTTTTTATCACTTTTAATGCTATTACAGGGAATGCAAATATCCCCTATAACAACAATGGGCATTGTCATGTATTCTTTTTTTGTAACCACCTCAATATCGGCACTTTTGCCCCCCTCGTGCCCAGGTCATTTTTCAGGTTTCAGCGCTCTCACACTTTGAATGACAATTGCGCGGTCATACAACACTGTACCCAAAACTAAAATGTTATCATTTTCTTCACACAACTAGAGCTTTCTTTTGGTGGTATTTAATCACCACTGGGGTTTTTATTTTTTTGCTAAATTAACAAAAAAAGACAAAAAAATTTGAAAAAAAAAAACATGTTTTCTTTGTTTCTGTTATAAAAGTTTGCACATAAATAATTGTTCTTCATAAATTTAGGCCAAGATGTATTCTACTACATGTCTTTGGTGAAAATATCCCAAATTAGGATGTATTATTTAGTCTGTAGGAAAGTTATATAGTTCACAAACTATGGGATATATCTGAAAATTGATCAATCCTGAAGTCCTGACGGCCAATCTAATTTCTTGAGGTCCAAGAATGTCAGAACAGTACAGATATCCCTCAAATATATACAGTATACACAGACAATATATACATTCCCAAAGAGAAGACCATAACGGTCTCCAAAGAAAATACCACAACAATATGACAAGCTGCAGAAGTCAAGTACAACACCTAACTAGTAATAAACATTGTTGGATAATCCGCTTAAAACCAGAAACAAAGGGGAATGTAAGAAGAAAGGGAAAAAAAGAAGGGGAAGGGGGAAAGAATAATGTACCAAGAAAGGGGTAAACAGAAGAAAAAGTTATAATAAAAAAAGAATACATAACATGTCTTGGTCAGAAAGTCCCTGAAAGAGACTGATAACAGAAAGATGTCTTTCAGAATGAAACACCCATAGAAACTTATCATAAGTGTGTGCACATTGATGTTACCCACTCCTCAGCCTCCATAATATCCTGTAACTTCTGCAGCCACTCTTTGACTGTGGGTATTACAGGAGATTTCCAGTGAATTGGGATAAGACATTTACCAGAATTGAGGAGATGGGGCATCAAGGAGCATTTATATGACCCAACTGATTGTTTTATTTCATGAAATAGGATAAAGGATCGACTGCCACTTGGGACTGTATAACCTCATGAATAATATTCCGGAATGGTGGTCCAAAAAGGGCTGATAGCTGGGCAGTCCCACCACAGGTGAAGGAAAGTGCTCTTTTGATTGCACCCTCTCCAGCAAAGCCTGGATACTGTTGGAAAAAATGCGGGATAGTCTGTCGGGTACCCTATACCATCTGGATAGAAAATTTTAAACACTATTCCTGAGCTTTTGAGTTAACTTATGAAGTATGAGCTAAGAATGTTATTTTATCAATACTACAGTTTGACAGGTCTCTACCCAGCCCCTTCTCCCACTCCTGGATGTAGTAGGGAGTCATATAGTCAATTTCTCCAACAGTAATTTATATAATTTGGAGAGAAGATGAGTAGAAACCTGCCCTATCTAGGCATATAGACTCAAACTTAGATAATGAGTCGCAAGATCTCACATTTATTCATATGGTATAATTGTGCTAAGCTGTCTATGTTTCCAACTATCTGAGAGTGATGTCCCCCATTCTATGCGGAGATCTATTAGTGACCTCATATGCATGCCAGACATAAAATGGAAACTTCGGGTTTCATGAGGCCCCCCCCCCCAATATTTAAGAAAGCTATGTCCTTTCCTAGAATAAACCATGGATAACCTCCAAAAGGGGAAAGTGGTGAGGAGAAATTTGCCAAGGAGAATTGCTTGTTTAACCATCCTCGATAGTCAAAGTTTCATAAGAAAGGGGGAGACACAGTCTGAGAGACCCTAAAATGTTCGAGGAAGCCAAGGGGCATGATCCAGGTTTCATCCTTCCACAGTCTTTTCCAGAGGAACCCATAATTTGTCTCCTGTATGTAAGTTCCAGTTAACAATAGGAAATAAGGCAGTGGCTCGATAGTACAGTGAAAGGTCCTTCCCTTGTTTTTTGTACGATGCATGATGTCGTATGAGAGATGCGTCATTTTCCCGTAAGGGAAAAAGGCCCTAGGTAAGTGGATTGGAACTATCTGGAAAAACAATAGAAATTTGGGGAGGATCATCATCTTCAATATACTTATCTTACCGAACCAGGTGGTTTGTACTTTCTCCCAGGCCTTCAGTTCTTCCTGGTGAAAGCATAACAACAGGACTAAATTAACCCTGTAGACATCCTTCAGATCAGCGGGCAGTTTGATACCTAGATAAGTGAGGAGGGAATCTTCGTTCAACCTCCGAAATATTCAAAGGAAAAATGACCAACTTCCCGAAGTTCATCTTAAAATTGGATAGATAATAGAAGCAATCTGTTTAATTCAGGAGGTTAGGCAGGGTTGTTCTTGGAGAGCTAAGAAAAAAAGAACGTTGTCTGCAAATGCAGCCAGTTTATGTTTGGTGGATCCCACTCGAACCCTGATAACATCAGGGTTCAATCGAATCTGGCATAAAAAAGGCCTCCATGATCAAGGCAAATAATAGTGGCAATAGAGGACATCTCTGCCTTGTCCCGTTGGAGATTGAAAAGGGTTGGGATAAAACCTGGTTGACTTTCACCTGTGCCATAGGACCAGCATAAAGAGTGCCAATCCAATATTGCATCTTAGTCCCACGTCCAAGTGTATGCAAAATACTTGATTTAAATGCCGAATCTATGCGGTCGAAAGCTTTCTCGGCATCTGATGAGAGGACAAGACAGGGGGTTTTTGAGGTAGAAATCCAGTGGAAAGGGGAACTAGCTCTCTGGGAGTTGTCCTTACCTTCCAGGCAGGGATAAACCCCACATGAGCATGAACTAAGTCGCCCAGGAATTCTCTTAGATGGTTAGCCATAATTTTTGCCAATATTTTTATATCTAGATTTAGTAAAGAAATTGGGAGGTAATTTTGGCGATATACTGGGTTTTTTCCCCTCCTTTGGGATAATAGTTACAGTATATGAGCACATCTTTGCTAAAGAATTCAAATACGTCATCATATGAGGCAAGAGGAGGTCTGAGTATTGAAGAAAATATTAGTGAGAAAACCCATCCAGGCCAGAGATCTTCCTTGAGGGCATAGCTGTGATCATAGAAAGAATTTCTGACAAAGGAGATATCTCTTTCAAAATCAAAGATTTGTGGATCATCAATTTGTCCAAGTAAGAGTCTATTGATGCAATGCACCTGGACTTGGCCTCCCCACTCTCTGAGACCTTAAGATTGTATAGGGAGTGACAAAAATCTCAAAAGCAGTTGGCGATCTGGGATGTAAATTGTAGTATGGCACCTGAAGCAGAACACACCTGAGGAACATAGGAACACTAGGATTGTTTTTTAAGTGACCTTGCCAAAATTCTCCCACATTTTTGGCCTTGGTCATAAAATGTATGGGCCAAGTGTCTAAGCTTATGTCTGGGCTGGGCGTCTAAAAGCTGCTTCAGTTGCGTCCGCAAGTCAGTGAGTTGGGCACCTATCTGGGTGTCATTCCTGTTTTAAGTCGATAGGAGAGATCTGAGATCTGGGATAGCAAACTGATTCAATCCGAATTAAACTGTTTTTTTTTAAATTTGTGGCCTGGGCAATAAAGGTTCCCCTGATGACAGCCTTATCTGCCTCCCAAATCATGCTTTTGGAAACCTCCCCAGCTGTGTTGTCAACAAAATATTGTTGTTGGACCTTGCGTACCTCTGCAGCCATCGCAACATGGTCTAAAAGATTTTCGTTAGGGACACTACGACCAGGTCGGATGAGATTTAGGTTGAGGCTGGATGACTAGTTCTATTGGGGCATGATCCGAGTGCATGATAGGATGAATCTTGGTGGAATAGACATTATCCAAACAAGGCTGGTCAATCAGGAGGAGATCAATCTGAGAGTACGACTGGTGTACTTGAGAAAAATAAGAGAAGTTTTTATCGTTGCCTTACAGAACCTAGCCGAAAAAGACAGTGTGGATTTGCCCGAGGAAGAGTCCAGTCGGGGGTCCTGGCATATAATGAAATCGCCCCCTATGATCACTGAACCTGAGGAAAAGTCCTGTAAAATTCCTAGCACTTCATCAATAAAAGAAACTTAGCCAGAATTCGGGGCTTAGATATTCGCTAATGTAAGAGGGTTTCCATAAAGGGAACCCTTTACCACCACATATCTGCCCTCAGGGTCCTCCAGGTGTAACTACAGGACCAAGGGGCAAGTTTTGTGAAAGGCTATTGCCTCACCCTTGGCTTGCTTAATTTTGGGGACGTGCTTTGAAACCAGAAAACAGGTAGAGTGGCAATTTAGGGATCGATCCTGACACAAAGTGGGTTTCCAGCAACATCATAAAACCTGTGGTTTAAGGGCCTTTAATTCCCGCCATACTTTACTATGCTTGAATGGAGAACAAAGACCCCTGACATTGTATGAAAGCACTTTAACCACCTCCCACCTGGCCAATGTACATAAACGGCCAGGTGGGAGCTTCCCCTTTGAGTGGACGTTCCTGCACGTCCCTCAGAACACGTGCCTGTGCGCGGCCCAAGGCCGCGCAGCAGCACGATTCTGTGATTGCTGTGTCCCTCGGACACATTCCATCTCGGTTCAAGATATGGTCTCTCTGATTGGCCCTCCCGATCACGTGATGGCTGTGTCTAAGAACAGCTGTCTCAGAATGTCAACAGAGACACGCGTCTCTGCAGTTGATTCCCTGCCTGAGCTCCGTGAGAGCTCAGCGAGGGAAGAGGGGAGGGGGGAGTTGGGGAATCTTCAGACTGTGACAGTTTGATCTGTGTAGCTGATGATTTAATTAATCAGTTACACAGATCTGCAGCCATCCCACACCAGTGCACCAAGCACCATTTTTCCCTGTCTACAGCCCACGTGTCAAGATCTGGAATCTCCCTATATCATCAACCAGTTGGTCAATTAGGGACCATGGAATTAATCTGACCCCCCCTTGATTTGAAGAGAACAGCTATGGTAGATCTGAAATTCTAGTATGTAGGAGTTTTTAAAACTGTTTGAAGTGGGTCTCTTGGATAAAAATTCTCCCAAACTCTGTGACCTCTTTTTAGGTGTATTTAGTCCCTTCATGTTTAAGAATAGTAAATTTACCTCAAGCATGCTGTTCTTGGTTTAGCTAAATAGACCTGCTGAGATGTGAACTGCCACATCTATATGCAGTGGGTGTGGGTGGGGAGTACAGGAGAAAAAAAAAGGGGAAGAGATGGAAATCGCAGGGAGAGGGAAATAATATTAAGACATGAAAAATATCTGAAGTAACTGAAGTATGTAAGAGATCAACAAATGGTTAAAGTAACAGGCATACGTCCTGGTACAATAAGGAGGCGGACAAGAGGTTTAGCCCTATGTGGGGGAAAGTATAACCAATGAAGTCACCTGTACCTATTGTAGATTATGGCAATAAACTAGTCAGCAAAAACCATAAATGCAGAATCTTTCTGATTGATAATGTAAGTCATTGACAGATCTAAAGTCAAAACACGGTAAGACCAGGTTGGTGATGTCTTAGTCTCAAATTTGTTAGCTTAACTGAGATGTAAATGTAAATCCACTCAGTGGATGTATCATTAATTTGGGATCTTCTGACCCTTCTCACTCGCCACCCCTGAAACCCTCAACATTCTCCAAGCAAAGATCCAAATGATTGCCAATGGTAAAGTTGTTAAAGGGCAATCATATCCTGAGCTGGAGAAGGCATTAAGTTCTCTGAGGTTGATCTGCAATAAAGTATAGGAGGTCAGACAACTTCTGTTTATTGGGGATGAAGTCTCGAGGAATAAAAATTAAAATGGATTGATGTAGTTCAATGTCCAAAATACATCTGTGGCATGAAGGAAGTTTTTTTTTATATATATATATATTTTAATAATTTTTAATATTTCAATTTGACATCAATAAATTATCCTATTATTCATATACACAAAAAACAGTTTCATTTAAACAATTCCCTTCTCGAAACCCCCCTCTCCCAGCCCCCTACCCACCCACCCTAGACCCCATCTACCTCAATGTTTTCTTCTCCCTAGTTCACTGTTCCTCTTCATTTCTAGATTACTCTTGGTACTCCCTTCTCCGTCTTCACTAATCCATTTCTTTTTACTTTCTCAATTTCCTACTCCTTCTCCATCTCTTCCATTATATGATTTTTTAAACATATCCCATTTCTCCCACTTTTCCGGAAATCCCTCCATTCTATCCTCCTCCATATGATAAGTTCCTCCATCTTATATACATAGTCTACCCTACTTATCCAGTCCTTTATTTTCAGTACTTCTTGTTCCTGCCACAATTTAGGAATAAGTCCCTTTGCCGCATTTATAAGATGAAATAACACCAAATTTTTATGTTTTTTTCTACCGTGTTCTCTGTTTTGTAAAATAAACATGTGCCTGGATTTTTCAGGACACTAGTCTCAGTAATCCCCTGAATTTGGTGTATTATTTACCCCCAATATTTTTGTATTTTAGAGCACTCCCACCAAATATGTGCCACTGTGCCCTCACGCTCACATCCCCTCCAACACATAGGTGATTTATCTATTTGTTGCTTATGTGCCACACTCGGTGTGATATACCACCTCGCTAAACATTTATTATTCAATTCCACAACTTTCATATCTACAACCCCCTGTGCCAATCTATATATTTTCTTTCTATGCTGCTCATCTGGTGCTATTCCCAATTCCCTTTCCCATTTTACCATATATGGGGGGGGGGTAGTAGTTTCTAATCCTTTAATAAGAATTTTACATATTCGGGAAGTACCATGTTTCTGTTCCCCTCTTCTACTGAACAATTGTTCGAATGGATTAAAATCCATCACTGTCCTTAGGGGCTTGGGGAGCATTGCAACAAAGTGTCTTAGTTGAAAATATCGCCACTCATCTAGCCTAAAAAACAGCTCCTTATTTTTCAGCTCCTGATAGGAGCATATTTCTTCTCCCTCCATTATATCTTTTAACTGAGCATCCCCTTTTCCTATCCATTTACCTGAAACATTTTCTTTCCCCGGTGGAAAATAATCTGAGGCTGCCAGTGACATTAGTATAGAATTAAAACTCCCACCTCTTTTTGTTTGTGAATTATATCCCAAACCCTAATTACATTTTGTGTATAAGTGCTCATGCTCTCTGCCAACTTACGGTATTGATGCAGCAACCACACCACCTTATTCAACTGTGTCCCCCACTTAAGGTGTTTTCTATATTCACTCTACTTTTCCTTGGTGTGTTATGTGTCCAATCAAAAATACGTGGCAGAAGTACTGAGTAATAGTATCTCCTAAAATCAGGCATGTTTAACCCCCCCATTTCTCCTTGTCGCTACATAGTACTTCATAACTTATTCTTGTTTTTTTTTTTTCTTCCAGATAAACCTCAATATCAGTTTTTTAATTGTATTGAAATAAGTTCCCAGGAGCTGTATAGGTAACATATGGAGTTTATATAATATTTTTGGGACAATTACCATTTTTGAAGGAAGGAAGTTTTTATCCATGTGGATTAAGCTGGTCATATGAAATCAATATGTGGTGTAGCACCGCAAAATATAAGTGTCCAAAAATAAAAAAGAAAAAAGTGCAAAAGGGATGGTGTACTAAAATACATCTCCACCTATTGGCCTGATCCCTTTATTAATTTTTCTATAATGTTTGCCAGATATACACAAATCCCATAAATACCATGTAAATTTTTCTATAAAGGGAAGTGTACAACAATGCACCTCCCCTGTAAAGAAAAATGTGTACATTGTGTCTAATACCATCAATAAATAATGTGTGTAAACTACGAATTACATGTTCTACTTCCATCAAGCACAATTGTATAATAAAATAGTGTTGATCGCATTGAAATCCCTGTTATACATAAAATATGTGTCATAAACAAGTTAAAACTGGTCCAAAATCTGTTTGTGCTAAATATATATTGGGACTATAATACCTCCTCTACATTAACCCCTTCACGCCGGTGCCTCCCGGCCCTTTAAGGGGTTTCTGATGCCGGGAGGTGGAGGTGAGGTTTAGGGTCATGTGACCACCGTGATTGGCTGTCATGGCAGTCACATGATCAGAAAGGTATTGATCGCAAGGAGAGATGAAATCCGTTTGTGTATCCAGTTTGTTTAGTTTTTGGGAAAACCAAATGTTCATATTGCTGCCCCTCCAGTGCTGTGTGATCCTATCTATTCCATACAAAATAGACTACTGGGGTCGCAAAACCGGCATTTCAATGTGATTAACTATATATTTTATTATACAATTGTGGTTGAAGAAAGGTAGCACATGTAATTTGTGGTTTACACCTCATTATGTATATTGATAAACACATTGTACACAGTTTTCTTTACAGAGTGAGGGGCATTGTAATATACCATCCATTTGCACTTTTTTCTTTTTGGACACATAATTTGCCAGTGTAACAGTGTATATTGATTTCAGTTTTCATACCCAAAGTTTTGGTTTGGTTTATGTTTGGTGACAGCAGCTGCCCATCCATATATTATTTATCACTTCCACTTTACAGAAAAATTTACCAGAACAATAAGCTGGTCATATACCATAAAATCTGATTGTACAGTCTCTGTACAATCTTCTTTAGAGTTACCAAAACTATGCAATGTAAAGACATTACAACGTGTACAATTTGTACCAACAAATGTGGGTCCTTCCAGTACATGTGCTGTAGTTGGTGGTAAATCTAAAGGAGATTGTACAATCAGACTGTATGGTGTATGGTCAGCATTAGAGTCACCATATACATTATATAATGACCATATAATCTCTTTACAATCTATATAAGATTTACCCAAACTATGTATTATGAGCATCTACCTAATACATACAAACAATCAGGAAGCCGCACATTAAATAGTTATGGGTACATCTAAAGTAGACTGTACAGACAGATTATATAGTGTGTGCGTTAGGGTCAAAGAAATTCAGTACAGAATAACAAAAGCTTTGGAGTTAGCTGGTTGGATGGCTGGGGGAAGATTGGTGGAAGGCTGTAAACAGTACACAGTTGCTACGTTTTATCCCTTCCAGACAGCATTGACTGTTCTGCCATGTACTCACTTTATGAGGTCTTTTCTCCTTGCTGAAATGTGAGTGTATTTTTTTTAATTTTAATAAAATAGTGAAATTAGTAAGCACTGTGTCTTGTTCCCTGTTCCTTTCAGCATTACCACATGCTAAACCCTGCTGATTAACAAGTGAAGCTGCTCCTGTAAGCTTAATGGAGACATATTGATGATTGATACACTGTATATTGAGTTAATTGAAAGGTCATCATCCTTGTATCCAATTTGATTGCTACTGTTGGATTCTGGCATTTTAAAGATGTGCATTTAACTTTTGTTATGAGGGTCAAGCCTAAGGTGAGCATTTTTGCTACAGGGGGACGGTGGAGGCTGCACTTTTGGATTGCACCATAGACAAGGCACTGTTTGGACTTTTGTCTTTCAGATTATTATGCATTAATTATCAACACAGAGTTTGTAATATATTTATGCTTAGTGTACACTTTGATATATTCTTGCACTTTATATATTTATCTGGTATACAGCTAAGATTTGAGAAGTTCAGAAATTGAAGATCCCTCTTTTTGCACACCCTATATACTGTACCTTTGCTATGTTTAAATTTAATGTCTCATTTAATTGTGTTACAACATGGGTTCCAGGAAAATGTGTGATCTTTAGAGGGAACAAATATTTTGTGTAAGGATAAACAGGATTCATTATTGAATCTAATGATTTTATTATGGTTCTAACAAAGGAATTATTTTATATAATGTTTTGTAGAAGATCCTTGAGCACCCTGAAGTCCTTTTATGCCTAAAATTATTTTTGTTGATTATTGTTTTAGGACAAGATGCCTTATAACCATATCCACTATTCTTATTAAAGTCATTGGGATTCAACCTCCTCCTAAATTGCTCTGGCATTTGGTAGCCACCCCATATTTGATAGAACTACAGTATGCCTAGTGAGGGGATACTATTACATTGTATCACCATCATCATGCTACGTAATAGTGCTCACAGCAGATATCTGTCACCAACTGTACCAAATTGTCAGTAGCTTGCACAGGGGTTTCTAACTGGCTAATGCCACATATATGAAAATAAATAAACAGGTGGAGAATTATGACTTTCTAGGTATATAATCAATGTAATAAGCTAATTTAACCACTTGCCTACCGGGCACTTTTACCCTCTTCCTGCCCAGGGCAATTTTCAGCTTTCAGCTTTCAGCACTGTCGCAATTTGAATGACAATTGCGCGGTCATGCAACACTGTACCCAAATAAAAATGTTATCTTTTTTTTTTGAGACAGTTAAAGCTTTCTTTTGGTTGTATTTAATCACCACTGGGGTCTTTATTTTTTGCTAAACAAACTAAAAAAGATTGAAAATTTTGAAAAAAAATAAGTTTTCTTAGTTTCTGTTATTAAATTTTGTAAATAAGTACTTTTTCTCCTTCACTGATGTGCGCTAATGAGGCTGCAGTGATGGGCACTGATAAGCAACACAGATGGGCACTGATAGGTGGCACTGAAGGGCATTGACAAAGATCACTTATGGTTATTGACAGGCATCACTGATGAGCACTGAAAGGCAGCACTCATATATGGCATTGATAGTTGGCACTGATGGGCACTGATAAGTGGCACTGATAGGCAGCATTTATTGGCACTGATAGGCAGCACTGATTGGAACTGTTAGGCGGCACTGATGGGCACTCATAGGCAGCACTGACTGGCACTGATAGGTGGCACTGATTGGCAGCACTGATAGGTGACACTGACTGACACTGATAGGCTGCACTGAAAGGCAGCTCTGATGGACACTGATATGTGTCATTGATTGCATGTGCACTGGTAGGCATTGGTGGAAACTTACATGTGGCATTGATGGGCACTGACATGTGGCACTGATGGGGCTACACTGATCATCAGGGCACTGATCACCAGTGCCCTGATGATCAGTGTAGATGTCCCCTCTGAGGAATGCTGATAACCAGCTCTCCTCTCCTCACATGAGGAGAGGACTGCCGAAAAGCCGCATTTCCTATTAACATGTGATCAGCTGTGATTGGACACAGCTGATCACATGACCGAGCCGACATCATCAGCTCTTTACAGTGATTGGTGATCTGCTGTATCCCAAGGACACAGTGCACCACCGATTGCCGTGTTGCGTGCCCCGAGGGCGCCCATGCTCAGTTGGAGTGGGAGGATGTCATATGATGTCCTCTCAGAATGATAGAACCGCCACCCGCCCATCATTTCCTTATAAGGCGGGCAGGAGGTGGTTAAAGATGCAATTAGGAGCTTTAAGTATATTTTCTATCTTTAAAAAAATGCAACAATGCCACTTTTAGCAACGCTCCGAACTGCTGTGTTCAGTTTGGCAGGGGTTTGCCAAAATTTCAAAGAAATTCAGATGCCAAACCTGAACACCATTTAAATCAATAGGAGCTGAATCTATCAAACTGAAATGCCCATTTTTTTCTGGGCTATAATGCGAGTGGTGTCAGTAGCTGTGAGGCAGCTGGACACTGTCCTTGGGAAATATACCAATGCAAAAAAAAAAAACGAAATCAATTCAGAACTGCCTTAATTCTTCATGGCATAGATTCAACAAGGTGCTGGAACCATTACCCAGAGCTTTTGGTCTATATTGACATGATAGCATCACACAGTTACTGCAGATTTGTCGGCTGCACTTCCATGATGTGAATTTCCCCTTCCATCACATCCCAAAGGTGCTCTATTGGATTGAAATCTGGTGACTGTAGAGGCCACTGGAAAACAGTGAACTCATTGTCATGTTCAAGAAACCAGTTTGAGGTGATCTGAGCTTTGTGATGTGGTGTATAATCCTGCTGGACATAGCCATCGTAAGATGGGTACACTGTAGTCATAAAGGGATGGACATGGTCAGCAACAATACTAGGGTAGGCTGTGGTGCTTATACGATGCTCATTTGGTACTAAGGGGTTCAGAGTGTGCCAATAAAATATCCCTCATACCATTACATCACCATCACCAGCCTGAACTGTTGATACAATGCAGGATGGATCCATGCTTTCATGTTGTTTACGCCAAATTTTGACCTACCAATTGACTGTTGCAGCTGAAATAGAGACTCATCAGACCAGGCAACATTTTTCCAATCTTCTATTGTTCAATTTTGGTGAGTCGGTGCAAATTGTAGCCTCTGTTTGTTTGTTTTAGCTGACAGGAGTGGTAACCGGTGTTTTATTCGGATGCTGTAGCTCATCTGCTTCACGGTTCAACGTGTTGTACGTTAGTTCAGAGATGGTATTCTGCATATCTTGGTTGTAACTCGTGGTTGAGTTACTATTGCCTTTTTATCATCTCAAACCAGTCTGCCCATTCTCCTCTGGCTTCTGACATCAACAATGCATTTTTGTCCCACACAACCTCAGCTCATTGGATATTGTCTTTTTTTTTTGGCCCATTCTCTGTAAACCCTACAAATGGTTGTGCATGAAAATCCCAGTAGATCATCATTTTTTTTAAATACTCAGACCAGCGTTTCTGGCGGCACCAACAACCATGCCACATTAAAAGTCACTTAAATCTCCTTTCTTCCCCATTCTGATGCATGGTTTTGAACTTCAGCAAGTCATCTTCACCACAGCTAGATGCCTAAATGCACTGAGTTGCTGCTAGGTGATTGGGTGATTAGCAATTTGTGTTACTAAGCAATTGAACAGGTGTACCTAATAAAGAGGCCAGTGAGTGTATATTGTGAGGGACTTTTGAAGGGAGTGTGTGTTTGTGTACGCGCTAAAATCTGACAATGAATGGCATTTTCCTGCAATTTAAAAAGATTTTTTTTTTCTTTGCAATTCTACAGTAAGAATGAAAAAACTGCATAGAGTTCCCCCTAAAATGCATATCAGACCCTTTGAGTCTGTTATTGATTTTAATGGGGTACAGCACACAAAAAAATGTGCAAGGACCTCCAGGAATTTCATACCACATCAGTCAGGTCTGGTTCAGGTTTTAATTGCATATCATCCAAAATAAGTTGCTGAAGTCCCCCTAAAAATATGTACCAGACCCCTAATCTGAGCATGCAGCCTAGTGTTCAAGAAAAGGGGGGGGAGACAATCCTGTGTCCCCCCTCCTGAACCATACCAGGCCATATGGTTTCAACATGGAGGGTGCCTTGCCCATGTTAATGCCTGGTGGTTGTAAGGGCCTTCAGTGTGTGTGGGGCTTATTGGAATCTGGAAGCCCCCTTTAATACTGAGGGGACAACAGATACTGCCCCCCCCCCAACATGAATGAATATGGTGTACATCGCACTCCTACTCTCATTCACACAAAAAGAGTTGTAGCCTAGACATGGACACGCAAACATTTAACAAGTCAGTCCCGGAAACTTTCCCCCCTTTCTGACCAGGCCATTGTTTGCTATACAACACTGTGCTATTTCATCTGTCAATTGTGTGGTCATGCAACACTGTACCCAAACAAAATGTATGTCCTTTTTTTTTCACACAAACAGAGCTTTCTTTTGGTGGTATTTTATATTTGCGATATAAACAAAAAAAACAACAAACATTGTAAAAAAAACAATATTTTCTACTTTCTGTTATAAAAAAAAATATCAAATAAAATTAAATTTAGTCATACATTTAGGCCAAAATTTATTCTGCTATATGCTTTGGTAAAAATAAAATCCCAATACATGTATATTAATTGGTTTGTGTGAAAGTTAGTGTCTACAACCTATGGTACTGTATATATATTAGAATTTACTCAGCTTTTACTTTCTGGCTGCCTATCACAATTCTTGAAGTGCTAAAATGCCAAGACAGTACAAAAAAAATCCAAATGACCCATTTTTGGAAAGCAGACACCCCAAGGAATTTGCTGAGAGGCATGTTGAGCCAATCAAAGATTTTATTTTTTGCCACACACTTTTAACCTCTTCCCATCCATCCCATGCCAATAAACAGCTAGCCAATGCTGGGAGACACTTCTAAACATCCCTCCCTCATCCATTGCCTGCACGCTGTCCCTGGGAGCACACAGCTCCTCAATCTCAATCCGGAAACAGCAGAAAACAGATTGCTGTACGAGGCTGCTGTGTGAGGTCCCAATTCATGTGATCAATGATTGGCCAATCAGTAATCACATGAGCAGTAGTAAACAAGATGTCACTTCCTGACATCATTGTTTACTACTTGTGAATTATGTGAATGATCACAGAGGTCACATGGTACAGGGTCGTTCACAACAGACTTGTACCATGTGATAAGCTGTGACCAATCACAGCTCTCACAATATTTCTCAATGGCTGCAGGAATGCAGCCAGAGAGAAGGAGAAATGATTGCTTTTAGAGATTTTATGGGTGTAAAACTAATCAATGTAAAAAAAAAAAAAATCTTGATCACCCCCCACTATGGTGACACTGTACTGCTAGGGTAAAAAACATAAATAATAATAATAGAAAAAAAAATAAAAATGAAAACTTTTTTTAAAATTATAATTATGTTTATACAAATTGATTTGGATTATTTATTATAAAATCGTGTTGCGCTCCACTAATATACAATGATAATCATTTAGTTATTAAAATAATATATGTGCTAATGCCCTGTGTAAACAAATCTCTTAAACAATATCCATATACATCATTGATGATCCTGCGACAAATCTGTGCTAATTTCCACATAACTGTGAAGCATTAATACATGTGCAAACTTATAGCAACAAAAATTATTATATAAATATATATATATATATATATTTTTATGTCAAAAATTCCTTCCAAACAAAGTATAAATAAATTTCAAAAGTCCACTCTGTGATACGTTCTCATTAAGTGCTCCTTCACCGGTGTGCGCTCACCTTATTTTTGTTTTTACCAAACGGTTAAGTGAGGTCAAAAACCTTGTGTCCCTTTAACTTGTTGCCGACCGCAGATAGCCGAAGGACAGCTGCACTGCGGCCGGCCAGTTCTGAGTGGACGTCATATGACGTCCCCCCAGAACGCGCTCTCCTGCGCACCCCAGGGGGCGCGCACCCGGCGATCTCCGTGATGTGGTAAAAGGCCAATCACAGCGGCCTTTTACCACCTGATCAGCGGTGTCCAATGACACGCTGATCAGAGGGAAATGCAAGTGCCGGTTCTCGGCTGCACTTTCCTCACGCTGTCAGATCGTGAGGAAAGTACTGCCGAGAACCGGCAGTTGTCAGAGCGGGGATCGGCACCGATCATCAGGGGCACTGATGATCAGTGCCCTGATGATCGGTGCCCAGCAGTGCCACCCGCAAGTTCCGCCCACCTGTGCCCTGCAGTGCGCCCACTAGCTCCGCCCACCTGTGCCCAGCAGTGCACCCACCTGTGCCCATCAGTGCACCCACCTGTGCCACCCTGCAATTTCACACACCTGTGCCCAGAAGTGCCACCTACCTGTGCCCAGCAGTGCCACCCACCTGTGCCCACCAGTGCCACCCACCTGTGCCCACCCACCAGTGCTGCCCACCAGTGCCACCCACCAGTGCAGCCCAGCAGTGCTGCCAGTCAGTGCCACCAGTCAGTGCCCAGCGGTTGTGCCAGTCAGTGCCGCCAGTCAGTGCCCAGCAGTGATGCCAGTCAGTGCCGTCTATCAGTACCCATCATTAGTGTCACCTATCAGTGCCGCCTATCAGTGCTGCATATTAGTGCCGCCTATCCGTGACACCTCATTAGTGCTGTCTATCAGTGCCGGCTATCCGTGCCACCTCATTAGTACTGCCTATCAGTGCCCTTTAGTGCTGCCTATCAGTGCCCATCAGTGCCGCCTATCAATGCCCATCAGTGCTGCCTCATCAACGCACATCAGTGAAGGAGAAAAATTACCTGTTGGAAAAATTTTATAATAGAAACAAAGAAACTTTTTTTTTTTTTTCAAATTTTTGGCAATTTTTTATATATAGCGCAAAAAGTAAAGCGCCCAGTGGCGATTAAATACCACCAAAAGAAATCTCTATTTGTGAGAAAAAAAATGATCAAAATTTCATATGGGTACAATGTTGCATGACCGCGCAATTGTCAATCAAAGTGCGGCAGCGCTGAAAGCTGAAAATTGGCCTGGTAAATAAGGGGGTATAAGTGCCTGGTAGGCAAGTGGTTAAATGGACTTGTAGGTGATTTTAGGGCTGTATCCTTGTCCCAGATGGATGGATGGATCCAGCAGGGGGTCTTGATGTTATCCAGAGACCTGGTTTCCTGGATGTAGGTGGATGGATGGATTTCTCCCTCTCTCCTCCAGGGGGTCTTTCCACTCCTTACTGATCCTCTCCTTATCTCTCCACAGGGGCGGACTGACAACTCATGGGGCCCCCGGGCAATAGGGGATAATGGGGCCCCTGTGTCCTTGCCCAAACTCAAAAAAGCCTATGAAAAAGGTACCAGGGGCATCTCATGGGGCCCCCTACTGACCCCGAGCCCTCGGGCAGTGCCGAGTTTCCAAATGGTCAGTCCGCCAGTCTCTCCATATATGTTAGTACCATAGTGCCTTATTTCCTTTTAAAATGATTTATTAGGCTTCAAAATTAGTGCACTCACATTGAAAAACATAAAAAAATGCATTGTTTTATATAATATGCTGTCCTCTGTATGATCTCCACACTTCCTATACACCTATATTCCTATACGTGTGATATTGCTTTAAGCGTTGTGACGTCAAAGTCCCTCCCCTCTTGTATACTTGATGTATCTCTTTCTTTTAAGCTTCCCTCAAAGGAACCAACACATCCTTTCAAGCTTGGAGACCATGTGGTTTTTAACCGTTTCCCGCCCGGCCTATGACCAGATGGTGGCCAGGCAAGTACCTCGTCCCTCCGGGTGGATGCCATATGGCGTCCTTTCAGGCATGTGCAGTTTGCCTGCCCACAGAGCCTCGCAGCGGAGCGATCTGTCTCAGGCCATGTACCTCAGAAACTGCTGATGACAGATCTGTGTGCCGGCCCCGTTGCCAGTACTACGTGACCTGCTGTGAGCAATCACAGCAGGTCACATGACAGTTGTATACAATGGATGGCTTCCTTTCATGCCATCAATGGTATACAAGTATGTCTAGCTGTGAATGGTCACAGCGATCACATGCACGAGCTGGGCCAATCACAGCCCAGCTGTGTCATGTGATTAGCTGTGGCCAAATCACAGCTAAGCACAAAAAAAAAAACCCTGAATGAATCAATTTCATTCAGGTAAATGCTTGCTTATAGCAAAGTAATTATTTGCTATAAGAAAATTGAGGAAGTGATCAGTATTTTTTATTTTTTTACACAAAGTAGTACAATGTTACTATGGTAACATTATACTACTTTGGTCATAGTGAAATATGAAAAAACAAATCTTTAAAAAAGAGAAAAAAATGTTTTAAAAAAATAAAAAATATTTAAATAAATAAATGTATCAATTTTTTTGTTTTGTTTTTTGTACTGTCACCAGTCAGTGTCCATTATCACCACCATGCCAGTTATATGATGGTGCTGTACTGCACTGGTGACAGTATGTAAAAAAAAAAAAAAAAGTGAAAATCACTATTTTTATTTCTTCATTTCCGAAAAATTAAGACAAAAAAATTACAACTTCAAAAAACTCGCCATGCCTCTTATGAAATACGTTGGACTGTCTACTTTGCAAAAAAGGGGTTATTTGGGGGATAGCTGTACTGTTCTGACATTCTTGGACCTCAAGAAATTAGATTGGCTGTCAGCACTTCAGGATTGATCAATTTTCAGATCTATACCATAGTTTGTGAACTCTATAACTTTCCTACAGACTAAATAATAAATACTAATTTGGGTTATTTTCACCAAAGACATGTAGTAGAATACATATTGGCCTAAATTTATGAAGAACAATTATTTATTTGCAAACTCGTATACCAGAAACAAAAAAAGATGTGTTTTTTTTTTTTCAAAATTTTCGGTCTTTTTTTTGTTAATTTAGAAAAAAAATAAAAACCCCAGTGTTGATTAAATACCACCAAAAGAAAGCTCTAGTTGTGTGAAGTAAATGATAAAGTTTTAATTTGTGTACATTGTATAACCGCGCAATTGTCATTCAAAGTGTGAGAGCGCTGAAACCTGAAAATTGACCTGGGCAGGAAGGGGGTAAAAGTGCCCTGTATGGAAATGGTTAAAGCCCTACAAGGTCCTGGACCCACCTTATAGGGAGCCCACAGTGATAACAGCCATAACACGTACAGCAGTTCTGACTGCAGATTCTCAGACCTGGATCCATGCGTCAAGGGTAAAGAAAGTCCCGGATTCTCTTCCACCTGAGGTGTTGACTACAAAAGAGAGCGAAGCAGGTGTTGAACACCCTGAAGCAGACATGTTAGAAAGAGAAGCAGGTGATATAGTTCCATTAGAAGACAGACGGACTGAGACTAATCAAGATGTCCATACTTTTACATCCACAAACCTCTTGGAAAATCTTCATTTTAATAGGTTGTCTTACAGTAATTGTGTTTCTCCCGATTTGGGTGATTAGCACATGTTATTATCACCCGCAGGACTTGATGTACATCTTCCCGCAGCCCCAAAAGACTGAACTTGTGCCCCAACACACACATCCACGTGAACTGTTAAAACAACAGGAAAATGTCTGGGTTTATATGGCAAGGAGAGTGATGAATGTTTCCAATTTTTGTTTGTCGGATATGCTTAATACTACCGATCTCTTAACTACATGTTTGATAGCCATTCCCAGGACATTTTCAGAGTAATGACTAATGATACTGATGTAAGAATGGATGATGTACCATTTATTTCATTGTATGAGTACTGTCGGAATTGTCCAGGTTCATTTAAACACTGGGAAAATATGCCTAGTATAAAAACGTTAAATGTTACCCAAGGAGATGTGTGTTACAATATGACATGCGATTCTGAAAAGATTCCCGGGTGTTGGTATCTAAGATTTACATATGGGTCACATAAAAAAAAACCTGTATGTTTATGTAAGTCTAATAGAACATGTGCCTCAGTACATAACCCAATGACCTGTAATCATGTTTTATCACAGCCCAGCCACATTAAGCATGTCAAATTACCTTTAAGATGGTTGTTTTCTTGTGGAAATACCACATATTAATATATTCCAGGCAATATTACTGGAGGGCCTTGTACTTTAAGCCATTTGAGTATGATATTGCCTGAGAATTCTAAAACTATGGAGAGGAATCTAAGATCAAGAAGAATATCGAGATTGTATCAGAAGATTGTATATCAGATATTACAATTTTTTCTAAAGCTGAATATACTAGCTTAGCTGTATCTATTGTAGGAGTACCAGCATTGGCATTATATAATCCAAGAACTCTTAATGCTTTAGCATGTAGTATGGCAAAAAGTCTTAATTATACTTCTATGGCTTTGCAGGAACTATTGCTCGATCTCCAAGGAACCCGTAAAGCTGTGCTTCAGAATCGAGTGACTATACATTATTTACTGCTTAAAAATAATTATGGTTGTGAACATTTTGATGAAATGTGCTGTTTTAATTTAAGTGATCATGCCACCTCTATACAATCACACATAAAGGCTTTACATGAGTTGGCCTCAGGAATTAAACAGGATGTTACTGGTAATTGGTGGGACTGGGTATTTGGATGGATAACTGGCCTAGGACGTTTGAGGCAAATAATGGGTGGTTTGATAATGGCATGGTGTGGCCTAATTGGAGTGTGCTGTTGTATACAGTGTATTCCCAATTTGGTGACAATGGCACGCTCAGTAAATCAATACTGAAAGGTATAAAGGGTGAATACAGCAGTTGTCACTTTGTGACAAAAGGGAGGTTTTGAAAGGGTTAATAGTTAACTAACTTTTGCTTTGCGCCTACTAACTTGTTTATTTTTCATACAAGATGTTCCCTTGGGATTGAAATGCAGTTATCTATGCACACATGTTTCCCCTGAGAAATTGCAGAAGTTACTACTCTGTTGCATTTTTGTTATGACTATCCATATAGTAGTTTACTGAGATCTTTTTACTGCATTCTAGTTGGTGCTTTATGAAAACCGATTGAAATATGCAGTGTTATCATTTATTACTTAAGGCCTGATCAATAATAAAGAAGTTAAATTCTGCCTCGCACATCTAGGCATTTGTGTCGCAGTGTTCCCAAAGTACTTTGAACTGTATGTCATTGTATGCAGGAAGAGGGCCTTAAATTCATGTTCCTGACACCCTTTGTCTACTAATAACTACAATATATGGCCAAAAGTTTGTGAACATCTGACCATCACACCAGTTGCAGGGTCAAAAGCATGTGGATAGCCTTACTATTTATTGAGTTCATTGTTGCAAGTGAAGGATACTGGTAATGTTACAGCACATAGACTTTTTAAACAACTTTGAAACAACAGTTTAGGAAAAACACCTTTCTGTTCAGCATGACTGTGCTCTGTGAGGAAAACAAGATCCATAAAGACAGTATATGATACATTTGATGTGGAATAACTAGGATTGCGTGCACAGAGCTCTGACATT